ATCAAAAGTGCACTGCATAACTTTTACCCCAAATTTTGCTAAAAAGCACCTCAAGTTATTTGTTGATCTTTGGTGTATGTTTTTGTCGGGGGGAAAAAAACTATTACAAGAACTATTACAAGTTACTGTGCAACTTTTTGTTTGATCCATCACATGCTTGTTTTGTTTGTGTTTTATATGTCATTATATGTCATTGTTCTGCCTGGAATGTTCCACAGTATAACATTAAACATTAAACCTTACATTTATTCAATTACAGGTGGTTTTACAGCTCAAAAATACCAAGAAAAACAGACATTCTGACTGTGAGTGGGGTTGCCTCTGCACAGCTCTGACCTGTAACTTGGTCTGGTTTGGTCTCCAAGAAGATAGAAAAGATTTGGTAACACTTTATTTTAGAATACACTTATTAACATCTAACTACCTGCTTAGCATAGTTGTAGATTGTTAATTTGTCATTAATTAGTATTTATTCAGCCCTTATTAATGCCTAATTCCACATAAGCTTATTGTGCTATTAGTTAAACATTTACAAACACTTTCTTATTAATACACTCCTTATTACTGCTTATTAATATGATACTAGGCAATATTTGTATATGACTTATGATTCTAATAAGCTGGTGGTGTTAAGAACTAGTTACACAAGAAATGTAGTTTTTACTTATTTGCGCTAAAAGCTTATTAGAATCGTAATTCATGGACAAAAATGGCCTACTGTCATATTATTAAGCAGGAATAAGGAGTGCATTAATAGGAAAGTGTTTGTAAATGTCTAACTAATGGCAGAATAACCTTATAGAAAATTAGGCATTAATGAGGGCTGAATAAATACTAATTCATGACAAATTAACCATTTACAATGATGCTAAATAAAGTGTTATCAAAGTTTTAATGCCATACTGTGAAACATTCCAGACGAAGCAATACCATCTCCACGGAGGCAAGCGTTTGACGAACCCTCCACCAGAAAAGTTGCACAATGCAGCTTTAACACTTTTCAACCAAACATACTACTTACAATACTATTAGGGCTATTCCAGATGTGTTCATATTTCCTGATGACAACATTTAGGTACTTTTCCACCACTGACCAAAACAAGGGAGAATTTGAAGTGCCCTAAATTGGAATACTTACCCTAACGACTCACTTGTAAACCAATTTCCTAGCGTCATGACACCTGCGCCCAACAGTCTTACAAACAAACAGAGCCTTTGAGACCCATGTTGTCCCGGGCCGGTGACGCTAACTGGCGCATTAGTCTCCATGGCAACGGCCGTATATATGTCCTGTGTGCTCAGCGGCTCCCGTGAGGCGGGGGGACGGGACAGGAATCCATGTGAACCGGCTGAGAGCGCGATTGAAAATGACCTTAGGTAAATATGCAAAATAACACACGGTTAAAGGTGCATTGTGTAACTTTTCTCTATTATTGCTTTGTCAGGAATTTTTCACAGTATGGCATTAAACATTTCTATGTTCATGGAGACCAAACAAGACCAAGTTACAGCTCAGATCTGTGGAGAGGCAACCCCGCTCACAGTCAGAATGTCTGTTTTTCAAACTATTTTTGAGCTGTAAAACCACCTGTAATTGAATAAATGTAAGGTAAAACTGTTTCTTATCATTACTGTGGAACATTCAAAGTAAGCAATGACATTTTCGTAGAAATAAGGTATTTTCCGCACTGTAGGGCGCTCTGGATTATAAGGCGCACTGTCATTGAATGGTCTATTTTTGAACTTTTTTCACATATAAACCACACCGGACTATAAGGCGCATTAAATGAAACAACAGTTAGATAAGTCAGTCAAACTTTATTTAATGCATTCACAATAACTCTCAACTTTGTTCAATTGTAACGCGTAAAAAAGTGCTGTCTGAGAGCGTTAAATTGTTCACAATAACTCATAATTGTTCAAACAGTTGGGCGATTACAGCATCCTGCTGTTCCTGGCAGTTCAGTGATGATTCTGGTCTTGATGAAAGCTCGGATCACAGTTAATATTGATGCTTTAGCCCAGGCGTCCACGATCCATTGGCAGATCGTGGCATAAGTCGCCCGGCGCTGTCTCCCTGTCTTGGTGAATGTGTGTTCACCTTCTCTCATCCACTGCTCCCACGCAGCTCACAGTTTAATTTTATAATAATCTTGAGTTTAAAGTGGCCGTTGTAAGCGTGTCTCTTGACAGGTGCATTTTGATATTAAAAGAAATCACAGTATGTATTACTCCGCGGGAGCCGTAATGCTGCAAGTGGTGCTGCTTTGTAGTTAATAAAGTCGTACTAAGACACCCAAATAAATTCATATATAAGACACTCTGGATTATAAGGCGCACAGTCATTTTTTGATGAAATTAAAGGCTTTTAAGTGCGCCCTATAGTGCGGAAAATATGGTACATAGTGCACCTTTAACCTTGTCATATAAGATTGTGACTGGCCTCTCTCAGCTTTTGCCAGGTACACAGATGAAGCACACTACCCTGACAGCTGGATGTCTAATGACTTTTTGCTCAGCCTCAAGTTTGCATGTTTCCACTGCTACAGCTATTCCTTCTCACGTCATGCACTTAGGTTAATTGGCCACTCAAAATGGTCTAAATTACCCTGACTTCAAGTTTGTTAAGTCAGCATTTTGAAATAGATGTATTTATTTATGTTTTCGTTTCTTGAAGGCGTTGGTCCAGAGCTGAGCAGCTGGTTGTGTTCTTTCACTGTTGAGTCAAGAGTAGTCACCTTGATTATTATCACAGCTTTATCCAAGTCCAATTTATGTTTGATTCGTATCACATGTCAAAACAGATTCTAATTCTGTTTCTGCAAAGTAGGGGAGGAGCAGGGTCAGTTTATAGTGTTCTAAAGATAACACCATTCTGCTGAGTTGTGTGAGACTGCTGAGGGAGATTGGAAGTTGGCAAAGTGAAACAGACTCAGTGAAGATTAATTAACATTCATTAACAACCATTTACAGTTATGTTTATCAGAATTAGATGAAATGAAATACAATATAATTACAATATTTTCTCACACGTTTAAACATATTTACATACACATAAAGGTGCATTGTGTAACCTTTCTGCAGATGTTATTCCTTTGTCTTGAAATGTTTCACTTTATGTTCACAGTAAGAATGCCTGATTTTCTGGGTATTTTGGATTATTTAATCAACTGTAACTGAATAAATGCAAGGTAGAGCTGTTTAATGTCATACTGTGGAACATTCCAAGCAGAATAATAATATATCCATAGAAACAAGCAGCTAGCGGACCCCCATCAAAAAGATACATAGTGCACATTTAAGTTTAAAAATGCCAAATGATTAATGTATTAGAATTTGAATGGAAAAAAAACATGCTTGTGCTTATTGCTTAGTCTTGAACAATCCACAGTATGACTTTAAACTAATTTACTATCTGAATGCATGTTTTCAAGGTATTTTAAGCAGTAAAAACACCAGTATTTAAATGCATAAACATATTCTAGCATACTTTGGAACATTCCAGGCAAAGCAATGACATCTTATTCACCACCAGAAATGTTACGCAGTGTACCTGTAAAGAAACAGCATGTCGCCTGTGCTCCTGTTATATCTCATCTGAATCTGGGATCACGCAAGTGCCTTATCCCTTTTTCTGTACTGAGATTACACAGACAGACCAGCCTCATGTGAAAGCTCTGAACCTCCACAATTCACTCAGTGAGCTGCAGAGGCTGCACTAGCACTGATGACTCATGATTGAATGATTCTTTTATGTTTAAAGATTTCGGAATTGAAAATGGAAACCCAAATGACAGTCATGTGAGGCTCATTCTGTTTTCTGATTGGACGATTATTGTGAGAACCAAAACACCAAATTATAATCAACAAATTGGCCATCATGTCCAAGGTTTTTGTAATTAAGAATAAAACAGCATACCATCATGTATATTAGGTAAAATCAATACTTGATGTCTAAGTCATTCTTATGAAATTTACAGTGGTGGAAGAAGTGCTCGATTTTGATACTTAGGTAAAAGTACAGATACTGGAGCAAAAAAATACTCAAGTAAAAGTTAAACTATATTAAAAAATGTACTTAAAGAGTAAAAAATAGAAGTGTTTTGCACAGATTTTGACATCTGATGAAACTTCAGATTTAAAGATGTTGATAAAGGTTTGTGCTGGATTTTGTTTAATTGAATCAGTAGTTTTTTGTAGCCATTTTTATTTTTGTAAATTTCTGTTTGCTCAAACTACAAACATGTTAAAAAAATTAAAAAAAAAACTCAGACTATTCAGCAGATCTCAAACTATTTTAAAATCTTTTCAGTCCTGTTCAAAATGTAGTGGAGTAGAAAGTACAGATACCTACTCTCATATGTAGTGAAGTTAAAGTAAAAGTATCCACTTTAAAATGTACTTAAATTCAGTACTTTTCTACTTTTACTTCATTACATTCCGCTATTGGAAATTTATAATGAAAATCTTACATACTATTCCATTAAATCAATGTACAGAGAAGACAATTTGTTCGAAAACGTTAAGATTCATAACTCACAACAGGAAGTAAGAATGGTTCAGCCAATCAGAGCCCTCATTGCTCAGAAGGAGACAGAGGACAAAGTGAGGAATTTAGTGCCAAGTCGTAATGTTTGTGCTATAGACTCACAGCAAGAAGGATTGAAAGCTTCTCGTGAGCTCATGGACAAGAAAACTCACAAAATATCAATGACATAAAACAAAGTAATCCTTAAAACACAGAGAATTCATAATTTTTATATATATAGAAAAAGATGATTCATTATGAAAAAAAAAAGGATTGAAAGGGGGAAAATACCTTTAAAATTATCCTTTAAGATTATAGAGAAAAGATGATGAAAGGAAATGATGACGGTGAAATGAATATTAGTCATTGCTTTGCCTCGAATCTTTCACAGTATGGCATTAAACCTTTTTATATTCTATAGTTGAATAAAAACAAATAATAATAAAGTATGGCAATTGATGTAACTTGTTGAACTGTTTTATTACATGCACAACAACTTAAAAAATAACATAAATACATAGAAAGAATACATTCACTGTTCAAATAAGGCACTATTTACACTAAAAACACACAAAATCACACCCCGAAAAATGAGGTGATCCTAAATATATTCACTCCACATTCAAGAGTGAAGTCTATAAAACTAAAGATTTCACTATTGTTGGCATTGGCAGTTGCATGATGTACAATTGGTACACTTGTCAGAAAGGTGTATTCTAACAGTGATTTGTGAAAACCACTGATGCATATGTACGTTTGATAAGTCCTTTTCGTCCATATCTTTGTCCTTATGTCACTCTACGTCGCCCCCTATCAACTCAGAGGGAAGTTTTAAATAAATAATAGTAGTTTCAGTCATTTTGTGCCATTTTAGTCCTCAGTAAAGCCCGTTCTAGAAGCTGGGTACGTCTAGTTGAGGCACACCGATTTCGTGGCAGGAAACTTAAAGTGCAAGCGAACATATTTTCATGGTTGTTTTTGGAAGGAGGAACAGAAACCCCCACCTCCCTCTCCAAAAATGTAATGTAATTGGTTTAAGTTGGCAAGTTTTTCAGACAATAGGTTGGGTTCACATTGTTGTCACGTGACAACATTCTGAAGTGTCCATAGTTGAGCTGGAGGGCAGGGCAGAACTCTCCGGTAGAATTAGCTGTTGATCTTAGGATTGGGCCATCAAACATCATGGAATTTTCAGTTAGCCTAATGTTAAACCAATGATGATTTACAGATGCAAATGGATAAACAATATTCAAACACACAGGCACAAATGTCAGTTGAAACAATTTAAAGCCACAAGATTAATATACTACAGCAAGTTTATGAACCATATCTCTAATAAACAATTAAAACCATTTTTTGTAGTTTAGTAGTTTCTGTGTAGTGAACCTTTATTTAACCAGGAGGAGCGTGTCCTGGATTTCCTGTACGTAGAGTAATAGCCCCCTGCCCTCCGTCTGAAATGATGATAGAACTTTCTAGAATGTCGTGAACACAATCTATTATAATCAGTTTCTCAGTGTGTGAAGTTGTGGATGTCGTTGTATATGCTCAGGATGGGGTTGACATGGCAGTTGAGAGAGCACTTGCAGCGTTGGATCCACATGACGTTCTGGAGGAGGTCCTCGCCGTCGGGGCAGTGGAAGCGCATGCGCACGGTGCGGGTTATGGAGGGGGAACAGCAGCGTCCGTCTGCACACGCCCCACAGGAGCGGGGCCTGTAGCGCTGGGCTGTGGAGCAGCCTGCAAATGTCACACTGACAGGGTCCTGGGGTCGGCTCATTCGCTGGCACCTCTTTCCTTTCTGGAATATGCACACAAACAGTTGGTTAACAATTACAAGTATATGGGACCTTTGTAAAGTATTCTATTAATATGATTTATTTGTGTCCTCACCAAATAAACATGTTCAAATAAAACACTGAATTTACTGATAAAATGTTTACAGATACAAAAATCATTTCACATGATGAAAAAGGTGTGTTTTGATTCTCAAGTTAATTCTCTATTCAGATAGATGAATGAGCTCCTCAGTTTGGGTTCCTAGATTCGAAATCTAAAACCAATTTGCAATAAAACAAACACAAAAAGGTACCATGTGTATATAGCAGCTATAACATTTTAAACTGTGTTTCACAAAACAATGTTCATTTTACACAAAAAACATCACAGTCATTTGCCTGCCATAGATGAATAAGTCATTTATATGCAGTGAACATTGGATTGTCATATGGTTAATGTTCAAAAACAGTGAAACGGTTCCATCAAAGAAAAAAAGGGCATGTAAAAAGGCAGTGATAATTGCTTTTTCACATTGAAACTCAAAGCTTGGGGCAAGCTCTGGTGTAAAATGTGAAGATGCCCTGAAATCTACCACAATCCAATTTATCACTCTCACAGGAAATGTCTTGCTAGACTTTTCTTTATACAAGGAGAAGAGAGGTTCTAATAGTGTTATCTATATCAGTGGCAGATCTGATTTCTAATTTTCTTGTAACAAATGTGTATTATCCCATATAGATCTGAGATATATTTTCAGAGATAGAAATTTAAATGAAAATAAAAAGACAAAACTTATAAGCACAGAATGACCTACAAACACACTACACTACCACAGCCTCCTTACGACTAAACTCTTACCTTGAGCGTTGCGGGGAGCTGTTCACAGGGCCTGATCTGGCAGAGCCGGGTCTCTCTGATTGGCTGGCATTGGGGGTTATGGTTGGTGACCCTGGAGGAGAGGCCCATCCCACAGGTCACAGAGCACTCACTCCAGGGGGACAAGTGCAGGAAACAGCTGGGTTCAAGCAGCACCTCTGACCTCGGCAGGGACGACATCTCTGCAGAGGAGAGAGCACAGGCATGTCACGTCTGGGCACATTAGGAGGAGAGCACTGGATCATTCAAATGGTAGTTTAAAATTGTGTTTTTTAGAGTACCTGGAGCACTAGAGTACTTGTGCTATTAAAAGGTACACTATTTTGTTTGGTCTATCACCAGCTTGTTTTCTATCGATAGGTCTGCTCTGCCTGGAATGTTCCACAGTTTGACATTAAACAGTTCTACCTTACATTTATTCAGTTACAGCTGGTTTTATAGCTCAAAAATACCTAGAAGAACAACATTCTGACTGTGAGTGGGGTCTCCTCTCCACAGATCTGACCAGTAACTTGGTCTGGTTTGGTCTCCATGAAGACAGAAAGGTTTAATGCTATACTCTGAAGTATTCCAGACAAAGCAATAACATCTCTATGAAGAAAAGCATTTCATGGACCCTAAACCAGAAAAGTTACACAATGCACCTTTAATGTCCACGCCACTGTTTCTGGCACCAGAGAATTTGCAATAGTGGTGGATTTTAGTGTGTTATCTGGTTTGGACGTTTGCTCCGGATACTCCAAAAATTGCCAATTATTACATTTGAAAAGTTAGTATTTAATAATTAAATTAAAGGTACATTGTGTAACTTTTCTGATGGAAGGTCTATCAAATGCTTTTCTTGATGAAGATGTTATTGCTTTGTCTGGAATACTTCACAGTATGGCATTAAACATTTTTGTTTTCATGGAGACCAAAAGCAGACCAAACCAGACCAAGTTACAAGTCAGATCTGTCAGAATATCTGTTTTTCAAGATATTTCTATAAAACCACCTGTAATTGAATATAAAACCACCTGTAATTGAATAAATGTAAGGTAGAGCTGTTTAATGACATACTGTGGAACATTCCAGGCAGAGCAATGATATCTCCATAGAAACAAGCAGGTGCTGGACCCCCAACCAAAAAGTTACACAGTGCACCTTTAAATAAATAGCTAAACAGTCAGCTTCTCCATCAAACTGGTTGGAAATCAATGGTGTTGAATATGCAGAATTGAAAGAGAGCACATCTTGCTTTTTTCTGTTATGTTTAGTAATAAACTTAGACATTATTTTTTTTGTCAAAATTCCAATTCATGGGTTTCAGCTTCATATTATATGCAACATTTGAGGACTTTATCCGTTAATTGCGAGGGTAACGGCCTAATTTTTCATCATTCTGAACTCAGTAGATAGCTTGTATTCACATTCTTGAATTTTATGTTGTCATAATTTCAGATGGAGGCCAGGAGTTTACAAATATGGGAGATTCATTTGTTAGGGACTGACTCTACAAACTTGTCATGTTATGACCATGGATTAAAGGTGCATTGTGTAACTTTTCTGGTGAATATGTCGCTGCTCTACCTGGAATGTGCCACAGTATAACACTAAATAGATCTACCTTACATTTATTCAGTTACAGGTTTTATAACTCAAAAATGCCTGGAAAAACAGCCATTTTGACTGTGACTGCCTCTCCATAAATCTCACCTGTAATTTGGCCTGGTTTGGTCTCCATTAATATAAAAAGGTTTAATGCCAAACTATGAAACATTCCAGACAAAGCAGTAAAGTTTCCATGGAGAAAAGTCTACCAGAAAAGTTACACAATGCATCTTTAAAGTGATTTTAACTGAGAACAATCACATCTTTCTGAAGCAATTATAGAAAAAAATATTTCACTTTTGCTACAGCTGTCAGAGAAGAACTTTCACGCAGATATTGTGACTAATTACAGAGATATTAAGCACCATAAACCAGGACACGACATCTGCATTTTGACACATAAATTATACCATAAAATTCTGACCTGCCTTTCAGCTCAAACTAAAGGCATGTGAAAGCAAACTATTCTATGCTATTAAGTAAGTACAAAGCTATGGGCGGGGACAGGGGGTAGGTGAAATTACAGGATTATTCAAACATACATGAATCAAATAGTTTACAACTCCATTCATATTTATCAGAAAGTGCCAAACATTCGACATTACAAACTGTGATTGTTCCATATTTTTTCAGCCTAACACTGTACATATTCTCTGTAATAAAGTTGTGATGTGTCCTGTCACATTTTCACTGAATCTCGAGACATGTGTTTAGTATTCAGGCGACAGAACCAACAGATTGATCTCTGAACTAATAAATTTTGTTCAGAACTGGTTTAAACAGGACTTGATCCAGACCAACTTTGAGTAAATGACTTTGGCCAGTACAGTTTTGATGTCTTTTCCTGTCTTTGTACATAAACATGAAACACTTGTGGTCACCCATTAAGGTTTAGTGTGCATACACTGTGGAAGACTATTTATTTGATGTACCTTTGTAAGTGTTCCCTCCGGGCAGCCTCAGAGGGGGCTGGTCTGGCCCCAGTGGACTGATGTGGTTGGGCAGGGGCTGCATGTCTGGCAGAGTGGTTAGCCCTGGTCCGTCTGGCTCCTCACTGATGTGGTTGTTGTCTTCGCAGACCCACTCCTCGCAGCAGCTGCCCTCAGGCTGGCGCAGCTGTGGCCGAGAACAGCGCCAGTCGGGCAGGGGCACTTGGTGTGGGCACAGGGGCATGCAGCCCACCACGCGGTTCATACAGGTGCACTGGTGCTGGCAGCTGGGCTGGAAGTGCTCCCCATGCTGGTACATGCGCCCATTGAACTCACAGGGCAGACCCAGGGCCTCAGCTGTCAGTCAGACAAACACAACACAGCACAGAGTTAAGAGGGTCAGAGGAGATTATAGATAACACAAGAGTCAGGCTTTCAACAATACTACTTTTTGTTCTTAATTATGAGTGAGCTTGGTTTATAAAAAGAAAAACAGCTTTCATTTAGACAAATGGATAATGTACAATCTCATAAATGGAAGCAAATGGCCATGATTGCTATAATTATAGTTTTATTGTACCTTCTGTAGCAGTGGTTCTCAAAAAAGGTGCAATTACTGTGTTAGTTTAAAGAAGACATCTTTTGTGAAATGAACGTGTATGATCTCTTAACCATATTATAACAGTGTTGTCTCATCATTAACCTACTTCGAGTTGTATTTTGATTGATTTGCACATGATTTAGTAATTCTATATTGCCCTGTATTCAAGTTCCTGTTTTCACCTTTCCCCTATCTGCCCACATCCCTGCACATAGTTGTTTTCAAAATTAAGAATCTGAGTAATACATAGTTTAATGTCACATAGCCATTTTCAAGAATAAAAACAAGTACATAAAAATCCATTGCTGGCTAAAGTGAAATGTGAATATGAAGAGGCAGGGCAGTTTTGAACAGGAAGTCAATGATCCCACTTCTGTGATCAGGCTGTTCCAGGTATTGCAGTTAACAATGAACAAATGGTAAAAAGATGATCTACTTATGTTATAGTTGAATTCTAAGCACCTTTAAATTTTGACTTAAATGTGCATTGTGTAACTTTTCTAGTGGAGGGTCCATCAAATATTTCTGTCCATGGAGATGTTATTGCTTTATGTAGAACGTTTCACAGTATGACACTAATCCTTTTGACCCTTTCTATCTTCATGGAGACCAAACCAGGCCAAGTTACAGGTCAGCTCTGTGGAGACGCAACCCCGTAAATACCCCCGTAAGCACGAATGCTAGTTTTTTTGAGTTATAAAACCACCTGTAAAGAAGGTGACCGACCTTCCACTAGAAAAGTTATGCAATGTACTTTTAAGTGGGAATGAAAATTACACAGTGCACACTTGCAGTCAAGCCTAAAGCATGTTTGTTTTTCTTAACCTGCTTTTCTATGACAGTTAAACCATTAGAGGAGTAGGAAATATTATGTATCCACAAAGTGTCAATATACACTGACTGGACCAAGCTGACCATGAAACAGCCAAAAACTTTCCATCACACCTCGCTACGTAAAGGTGCATGACTTTTCTCGTCAAATACCTAAATGGATTTGTTATTCCTTTGTCTAAAATGTTTCACAGTGGTACTAAACCAAACAAGACCAAGTTACAGCTCAGTCATAATGTATGTTAGCCTGATTCCTGATTCATCAGACAGTTTCACTTTGTGGAAACCATCTGACCTTGCAGCATTGGGATTCATTCGCTCAGCGGTAGGCAGGTACTTTTTTTTATTTAAGCAATTGCTGCTGCACATATGTAATGCGCTGCTAACGGAGCTAACTGGTATATTAAGCTTTTCCCAAATTCAGTAAAAATGTATCCCCTTGATAAAATTCACCGAACATTCTCTTTGCTCCGACTTTAAATCCTCGATCTCGGGAATTGTTGCCAAAACAGAATGTATGGCTCTTCGCTGATTGGCTCATACCTGGACTCCCACTTCCGGGGTTCTTGCAGACCATCTAGTGCAGGGGTGTCAAACTCATTTTGGTCTGGGGGCCGTATCCAATCTACTTTGATCCCAAAGGGGCCGGATCAGAAAACTCATGTCATATAAACCCCAAAAATAACAATAAGTTCAAATATTTCTGCAGAGAAATGCAAATCTATTACAGAAATCTTTTTTAATTGATGAACTCTTTCTTTTACAAAATATTAAAACTTTAAGAAAAATGCAATTTCAACATAATGTTTTAACATTAACTTGTATACAAATAGGAATAAGTCATTTTTTCTTGGAAAATCCTGCACTCGGCTCCGCTTTTCTCATTTGTGACATTTTTCTGATGAGGGTGTCACGGTCAACAGTCAAAACGATCGTCCTTTAAGTGCGTTTGGAAAGAGACAAGTCTTCATTTGTGCTGCTCTGGTGGGAGGGGCCACGTACAGAGACGCTGGAGACGCTGCTGTGAAACACCACAGAAAATTACCAATATTTAAATAGAAAATATAATTAAAATATTTTAGTAGAAAATCAGCCGAGGGCCAGATTAAAGGTCTTGGAGGGCCGGATCTGGCCCCCGGGCCGTATGTTTGACACCTGTGATCTAGTGTATTCCGATTCCTGACTTAGTCGCTGGAGAGAAATTAAATTGAGCGGAGGCACTAGGTGGCGCAAGCCTGGCTAAATGTTTTTGTAGGTATTTTTGAGCTATAAACCCACCTGTAATTTAATAAACATAAAATAGCTCTGTTTAATGTCATACTGTGGAACAATCCAGGCAGAGGAATGACATATCCATAGAAACAAGCAGGTGACGGACCCTCCACCAGAAAAGTTACACAATTCACCTATAAACAAACATCCAACAAAAAGACCACTGACCTCTGCACAGGCCTCTGCGTGGGTCTCCTCCAGCCCCCAGGTGGCAGCGCAGCCCCTTGATGTGGTCGCAGGGCTCTGTGGGGCTACAGTCTTCGTTGAACTGTTTGGCACAGACTTTACAGCAGCCGCAGTGGTCCAGCACCCAACTGATCCCCCGCGCACAGGCCGGGGGAGAGGGGGGGCAGGTGCACTCTGCTGGGCACTCGCTCTCCGCCTGTGGATAGATATACAACACCAACATTAGGAAAAGTGATAGTGCAAGTATTGAAGTACAGTAAAAGTAAATGAAGCACAGGTATTGACAATTGACAATCAGAAATGAGTTAAACATCCAAAAATGTATTATAAATATATGAAGGAGTACTGACTGGACAGACAAGGAAAACTGATACAAACACAATTACTGACAATCAGAAGTGAGCAGTGGTGGAGGATGACGTACTCAATGTTGTTACTTAAGTAAAAGTACATATAGAGGGGCAAAAGATTACTCAGTTGAAGGTAATCTTTAACTGAATAATCTTTTGAGGTATCACATGAGGAAATCTACATAAGTAAAAGTATTAAAGTACCTGTTTAAAAGTGTACTTTAGGAACAAAAAAAGTTAAAGTATTTTGCAGAGATTTTAGAACAATTTAAGGATGAAATGTAGTGATTTTGATAAAAAAAACTTTGGTTGATTTTAAGTGATTCAACTGATTTGATAATTTTTCTAGCTGTTTTTGTGTGTCTGTGTGTTTGGTTTGCTCAGAGTTGGGACATTAACTCAAATTAAATGTGCTAAAAATAAGTCCCAGCTATTTCAGTAGCATTTCAAACTATAAAGAAAAGTCCTTTTTACTTTTCAGTCCAGATCTAAAATGCAGTGGAGTAGAAAGTACAGACACAAGTTCTCAAATGTAGTGAAGTAAAAGTAAAAAGTATGCACTGTAAAATGTACTTAAGTAAAGTACAGGTACCTAAAATCTGTACTTTTACTTTAGTACTTTGCTACATTCCACCACTGGAAGTGAGTTAAATGTCCAAAAATGATTACTGAGATTGCACTAGACAGCACTGTAGTAATGAGGTAATTGGATGGGAATAGCATAGTAAAAGCAAGTACTGATTAAAACCAGCAGGGTTGTCAAAAGTAGAGAAATAACTGATACTAAAATGACTATCGAAACAAGATACTTAGAATAATCAAGAGCTGTATCAGAACAAGTTTAAGCCAAATGAACTATGGACCACTATAGAACCCACCTGGACCACTCAGGGATTGCATAGATATAGGACTGCATGGTAATATAAAATAAAATACTATGATTTAATGCTGAAAAATTACATGATATTATAGTGTTTTTAGTTATCATTGTGATATCAGAATAGGTACTGAGTCTATTCCTTTGTATCGAAATAAAGTTAGAACAATTTTTATGCAAAAACCAGGAAAATTACCATAGAAAGCATATATGTTTCTATATTATTACAAAGAAAATATTATATAGCCATGTTTAACTAAGCCATTTACAGTCTTCATTGGGTTAGGGTCAGGGTAAGGATTCATTATGTTTCTATGGAATAAAATGGAATTCCAGATGTTTTAATTAGCATGTAATCACCACTATTACAAATTAAATAAATGACCAGGTTACCTTTTTTATATTACTGTTCTGAAGTGAAGCAGTTGATTAATATTTGTGAAATGAAATGTATTGCTTTGAAAAGCTTTAAAGTAACTATCAGTGTTAATGTAGAGTCTGGAAAAGGGGGCAAAACACATAAGATTACTCTTCTTTCTGCTCCTTTTCATTCATTTCTTCATTTCTTTTTATACTTAACGAATGAAATAATCGAATAAATACAAAAAATAATAATAAAAGTACTATCATAATCTGACATTTTATAGTATAGGTTATGCAATCTGTAATCTGACAGACCAGACGTGAGCACTTTGTCACTGTTACATTAATTTAATCAAAATTATTATCCCTCATTCATTCAGGAGTGGTCTATTGTAGTCAATTAATGTGCAAATTTCCAAATAAAAATGAACTGAGAAACAAAAAGTATTGCATCCAGTAAATTTGTCTTGTTACTTCCAAATTGCATTGCTTAAAAAGAGTAGCGAGCTCCAAAATTGTACAAATTGTTACTCAAGGAAATAGAGCTAAAACTTACCAACACAGCTGCACTGCAAAGAACAACCAGAGATGAAATAATCCACTGCAATGTTAGACAAAGCAACATTTTGGAATCTCTGTGCCTAAATAAGATCCTTCAGAGTAAAAGTTTATCCAGAGTTGAGTGTCCGTGCACAGAGGAGTACACCAGTCTAGTCAGTTTTTTGCTCTGGTAGTCAAAAGTCTCTCTCAGCTCCTCGACTCTCACTTCACACAGAGGTTTCCCTTCACGCTGCCTTGTTCTTATGGACACACAGGCCCCGCCCACTCCGTGACATCACCAGGCCCAAAGTGTCTGCGAAGAGGAGAGATGTGTAATTGTGTATAAATGGTATTATTCATAGTTTTGAACAAAGGTGTAGTCTTTAGGAGCTCGGATGTTTCAGATGTGCAGTTGTAATAGGGATAGTATGGATTACCAATAATGAACAGCTAACATACATGAACATCACTGCATCACTTGAGGAAAACCAAAAACTAAAACACAACTTTACCCACACCAGTCCATCTTTCCTACAATCAGGGAGCAAAGGAGCAAATAAAAAATCTAAAGCTGTATACAGCTTGTTTTTAGTTGGTTATGACACTTTGTAATGACATTTTTTAATAAAAGTTATGAAAATGGTAAGATACAATGACATCAAATGGTTAAAAGTTAAACAATCAAATAATTTATGAATAAGAAAATGAACAAATGTGTTTAGTTTATAATAAAACAGCCAAACTACACATATTTTCACCTCTGGTAACATTTGACAAGTGTAAGAAATAAGCACATAACATAAGACAGGCTTTTTGTTTTGTTTAGTTAAAGGTGCATTGTGTAACTTTTCTCTATGGAGACCAAACCAGACCAAGTAACAGGTACATAGCAAAAACTTAAAATTTCAGAGTGAAATATTTCAGAGTTGTTTTTAATACAAAAAGTGTTATTTTTACTATTTGAAATTTAAATGGGGCTTTGAGTTGGGGTTATTTGCCGGAGTTGATATGGTTGAAGTTAATTCAACTTCCACTAGTGTTCATTCAACTTCTCTTAGTGTTAATTTGGCACCTCTCACCCACCACTTCAAACTCCCACGAGAGAAGACCAGTTTGAACCAGTTTTGTACATAATTTTATCTTAAATTTAAAATAAAGTGTAAAAATAAAACAAGTCTGTGTGCAGTTTAGCTAAATCAGGATAACCCTACAAAGTGTTTTCCATTTACTCTCAAAATCTTAATATAATTCTTGATTTCGGACTTAAACAGGAACTTCAGTCCAGTGTTACTTATTTCACATTTCCAAAAATATTCAATAGAACAGACAGCACTATAAACTCTGAGAAAATGTTAAAATTGATTCTGTGAGAGTCAGTTTTAACACTCCACTTTTTGCTGTGTATTTTTGAGCTATAAAACCACCTCTAATTGAATAAATGCAAGGTAGAGCTGTTTAATGTCATACTGTGGAACATTCCAGGCAGAGTAATGACATATCCATAGAAACAAGCAGGTGACGGACCCTCCGACATAAAAGTTACACAGTGCACCTTTAAGTCTTTTGAGACAAACACTGAAAGTAGGGCTTGATCATATAAAAGCTTTAATCACAAATTTTCCCCCTGGAACTCATTGATCTGGATTTTTGATTTGATCTTTTATTTTCGTAGACAAAATAAAAAACAATATTAATTTCATGAATATAAACAAGACAGACTTTTAATCAGTGCTCACGTTTTTACTGACAGGAGTTAGTCTGTTGAACTCTTGATTAAAATGATTCAAGCTGATGTCAGTTAATTGTCTAGTTTTTGATGTCTGCCACATTGAAAAGCTTAGATCATGGAAAACTCACAATCAAATCGACATTGATTAAAACAGACTGGCATTTTCTTGCACACAACTATAGCTGTCTCAATAAATGTTCTATATTACGCAAAACAGCTTTGGCCGTGTCAGAATGTTACCTCCACAAAAATATACCTGGAATTGTGTTTTCTTTCATTCACACATTGTTTGAGTAATTAAAAGACAGTATTGAGCTGGTAGTTCTTTATTATTAGTCTGTCTAGATCTCCAAAGCTCAAAATTCTGCTGCCCTTTACATTTTGTTTAGTAGAGATTGGCAATTCCAGGGTTAAACTCATCCAAATGATTCTAGTGAAGGTGTTTGGAGTTTAAAAACACAGTGGAGCACTTCCTGTATTAATACATGACGTTTTCAGTATGAGAGAAACTTAGCGTAAATGTGTTGAACATGTGCAAATGAAACAAAACAAAACTCCAGGTCTGTTTGTGATGAGGAAACAACATAGATCAGAAAACAGTCCTTTAAGAGGTTATTCCAGGTCAAACTTACTGCACATCATGTCTCTGGGAAACTTCAAGCCGAGCAGGTGTGGGAGGAAAGCTGCGTAGGGAATCCCGTCCTGTACTTTGCTATTTAAACAGGGGAAGTGGTGATGAGGGCCGCTCCTGCTGTTGTGGTCCACTGTACTCTGGACTTCCTGTTTCTCTCCATTTCTTTCCTCCTCGGCCTCGCTCCAGGAAACACAAGCTTTAGTTCTCATTCTTCGGAACAAGGAAAAAGTACACTGCCTTTGTCCAGCCAGGGGCATGTTAGTGTGGAGAACGGGGAGAGCTCTGTTACAGGGGCTGTGGGGAATCATGGGAAATGTAGTTTAGATGGATGTTTTCCTCAGGGACTTGATTACATAACTAACAGTTTGAAAACCAATGTGGATATGTTACTTGTGTTGGACATTACTGATATTTAAAGGGCCCATATTACACTGTTATATTGTTTCCTCATCAAAAATACTTGGAGTTGTGTTTTTTAAATTACACACGTTTAACACACAAACCAAATATTCAACTGAGTTTTTCTCTCAAACGGAAAACACTTCGTTCCACCTTGGGATGTCATTTGGTAATACAGGAAGTTCTTCTTCACCTTCACTAGAATTATTTGGATGACTTCAGCCCTTGAATTCCCAATCTCATCTAAACAAAAGGTAAAAGGAGATGCTAACTTGAAAACTACCAATAGGTGACATCACACGGAGGAACGGAGCTTTTTAAGCTTTGGAGATGTAGACAAACAAATAATAAGAAAGGGTTACTAATCCATGTATCATTCGTCCATTCATTTTTCAGTATAAAACCAAAAATAACAAAACGAAAAAAAACAACAGTTTTCTTCATTATTTGTCTCCCAAACAAAAATTAAAAAATGGATAACGTTCGTTTCTTTCAGTTTTCGATTTTGTGTGCCGGACTTTTGCGCCGCATACGGACTGAACCAGGACTGAACCAGGACAGAGACCAGACCGGAACCTGACCGGGACTGAAACTGGGACCAGACCTGGACTGAAAACATTTTAGTCCTGTTCAGTCCGTATGTGTCGCAAAAGTCCAGCATCGCAGTTTAAGTCATGAAAACAGGAAACGGCCGTTATTTGTTTTTTCCTTTATTTATTTAAACACAAAATCAAAAACAGAAAAAGGAATTGTTATCCGTTTTTTTTTTTTTTGTTTTTTTTTTCATTTTGGCTATGGAGGCAAATAATGAAGAAAACAATAGTTTTTTTTGTGTGTTTGTTTTCTTATTGGTTTTATTTTGAAAAATGAATGAACGAATAATACATGGATTGTTACTCAAACATGTGTGAATGAAATAAAACACAACACAAACACTGTTTTTGATGAGGTAACAACACTGTAACGTTGCTCACGTAACTCACAAGAGTTCATTAGTCTAATTTAAAATTGTGATTTTAGTAACAATATTCAGTTACAAACATTATGTTAACAAAATGTGCGTCAAAATGCGTCCACTGTGTACTGTCAGCATTTTAATGTTCATTATTCAGGAAGTGCACAATTTGCATGCTAGTTGTTGTTAGCTTTACCATCACAGCAAAACTCTTACAAACTCATAATCACTTTTCTAATCAAGTGTCACAAAACATTAGTGATAAAAGTATATAGAACTATATTTTCTCAGCAGGTTCATTTCGAAAGTAAGCCTATAGAATTAATCATTTCAAATAATTGTGATTTAAATTATGAGCCAAATAATCATCAGTTTATTTATTTATTTTTTGTTGCTATATAATTCACTTTATAATCAACAGTAGTGTTTGGGACTCTGTCATGACACCACAACATTTCCAGTCTGCCAAATAGGAAACGAAATGGAGATTTTTAGAAGCCAACTACTGGATTTAACATTCACACAAAAGTATTCTGACTCTAGTGTGATAAATTCATTTACCAATAGTCACCCAGCAGTCATAGGAGTTGTTCCATGACTCTTTTGTTTATTTTTCAGTGTTTTGGCTACCGCCTTTTCTAACATTTTATAACTAACATCTGAATTGGCCTTATTAAAGTTCACAGCAGGACTTAATACTAAATGAATGGTAATTTCTAAACCTGTAATTATTCAAATAAACTATTTTTACTAAGAATTAAGTGTATGTGTAAGTGTTAAAGGTGCAATGCCCAAGATTTCAGGTTAGGAATCCACCACCATGGAGATGCTGTTACTTTGCCTGTAATGTTCCAGAATATGGTATTAAACATATATGGGTGTTTTTATTGTTCAGAATAACTTTAAAACATGCATTCTGACTTTGAGTGGGGTGGCCTCTTCACAGATCTCACTTGTAAATTGGCTTTGTGGCGGCTCCTGCTTGTCTCTATGGATTGACTGATAATTGCCGTACTTTATAAAATTGCAGGCAAAGCAATAACGTCTCCATGGAAACAAGCTGCTGATAGGCCCTCTACCTGAAAAGTTACACAATGTACCTTTAACAGACATTTTGCCAATATGTTTGACACATATGCCCGATACTTTTTAGGAAGTTTTTTAGGAGGCATTTACAACTTTAAAGGTCCTATATTACACTAAATGTATTTTTGTGAGATTTAAACCACGTTATAATGCAGCCATCCTCATATCAAACATACCTGGAGTTGTGTTTTCTTTCATTCACACGTTTGAGTAATCCTTTATTATTAGTCTGTCTATATCTCCAAAGCTCAAAATGTTCTGTTCCACCTTGTGATGTCATGTAGTAGTAGTTTTCAATTTAACAGCAAAATTTTACATTTAGTTTAGTGGAGATTCCAGGGCTGAAATGATTCATATGATTCTAGTGAAGGTGTATGGAGTTTAAAAACTCAGTGGAGCACTTCCTGTATAACCAC